GTAGATGCAAAATTATTTATATAGTTATGCATTTTATTTATAATGTAATATTAAATAGGCACTTTCCATAACTTTAAACTACACTTTACCTATAAGAGTTGTGCACACTCATATATATTTTAAATAAAAAAAATATAAATATATGAGTGTAAACTATCAACTATCAAGTACATGTTAAACATATATAAAAGTGTCTTATTACATCTCACCTTTTGAAATATATATTACATTGGCACTGCTTTATAGAATGAAATGCACTTTTATAACATACAATTTAAATACATTCAAAAGTGCACTATTATATCAATCTTTCTAAAATAAAGTGCATTATTTTACTCCGAAAGTGCATATTTATAAAAAGATGTAACTCGCTCATAAAAAGATGTAACTCAATGTATTACAAGAAACACAATTGATGGAGTATATGGGTCTGGACCCCAGGACCCACATACTCAGAAGAATGAGAGGCACAGCTGTCACCCAGTGGGGCCTCCATCAGCCTGATGGCCCTCCATCGGCCTGAAACATATCAACTCAGAACATGGTCCAGAAGCCAGGAGAACCGGGTGTCCCCGTCGGCCAGGTCTCCGTCGGCCATGGCTCCGTTGGCCATGGCTCCGTCGGCCACAAAGGGCTCCCAAAACCGGACTTCACACTTAATTATTTCTACGTCTCTTGTACTCAGCCCAATAGTTTCCCAATTGTAAATGGGCCTCCCAAGCCCAAGACTTGGGAGCCCAGCCCTAATTTCCTATATAAATACTCCCCTTGGGGGTAGTTGTAAGGGGTTCACAAATCATTTATTGCAAGGGACTAGTAGCTCACCCGTGCGATGCAAGGCCAAACAAATTTCATACAAATTACTCAAGGAAATAACAATATGCACTAAAAAACTTCTTTATTTCAAATAAAGGAGAACAACTAAATGTACTACTTTTACAAAATGACTAATAACCAAATCCAACATGAGTTTTATAAATTTTTGAAAACTTTTTTGTAGACAATAGTCACAATACTACGTATTAGTTATCTTCGTTGTGCTTTGCTCATCCTCATCTATTCACAAAGTTTTAATGAGTGGTGGCTCTAGAAACGGTAGCATTAAGCATGAAATGAAATAATTAATTTCAAAATTAATGACAATTACTATATAAAATTAGGTTTTATCCACGACTTTTTACACTTCCTTTTATGATAATTTATTTTATAATATTTAATATTTACAAATAATCCAAATCCCAATATGTGCTATGTAAGATATGTGTGTTTTAACTTGTTCATATATCAAGTTTTATAAAACTAACTACTGTAAGAATTCTAATAAGTAGTGCTTTTTATTAATAATATTAATAAAAAGCAACAAAATACTCCATAATTACTACTGTATGAAAAAATAAAAAACAACAATACTTTTCATAATTACTGTATGATTTTTTTTAATAATGAACATTTTGATATATTTTTAGTTTAATACAAAGTTGTGATAACTACTGGTTTAGTAAAGAAAAAGTAATACATAGTACATAGTAAAGATAAATATAACTCTATATAGTAAATCCAATGAATTCAACCGGGCTGTACTTTTACTCTACTAATTTTAAATAATGTTCAAAGTCCAAAATATGAGTTACCCCATTTAAGAATATCATGTACCAGAAACCTTTTAGATGATTACCCCATTTAATGAGCTGACCCTTATTAGAATAATCTCCAGGCACATATAAAATTTCTAATAAGAGTAGTTTACACATTTTCAACTCCTTAATTTTGAATCTTTGATTTGCATGCTCTTCAACGAAACATATAAAATTTCCCTTACAGCATCCACAGTCATGCTATTCAAAATAATCTAACGTCTTCAAAATTATACTTGCATCATTCATCATCTCAAAATAATCTGATCTTTTGTGGGTCCTGCAACCACTAATTAATAATAGCTTCACAATAATCTTGTGATAATCTGGATTCATATTTCAATCCCGAATTATTTTGTCAAATAATCTCACCAAATAATCTTAATCACCCAACCATGATCTCAAAAATAATTCGTCACATCACCAACTTAATCCTCTAATAATCCTATGACTGGAGATGCTCTAAGAGCATCTCCATTCATGCTCTCTAAATAAACGATTTTTTTATTACACATCATTGCCACATCACATTTATTCAATAAAATTTAAATAATCTCAAAGTTTAAAACTCTTCATCAACAATAATACTCAAATAATCAGTTTTTTCCGGACATGCATTAAATGTAATTTAACTATAATCTAAAATAATCCGGGATTGGAATCTTGATACCGGATTTTCTTTTTCAATAATCTCACTAAATAATCTTTCATTCACAACGACAATCTTTAAAATAATCTTACACATCATCCAATTGATCTTCAAATAAACTCATGGATGAGGATGCCCTTAGAGCAGAGAACCTCAAAGTTGTTATTGCTATATGCTAGTCGATTCGAGCGGGTTATGCTAACTCCCAGGTGGAGTTCGATTCTAAGATTGCACTGAGATATCTCCTGGATGGTGTTGCGAGCAGATGGCGAGATGCAATTCAAGAAATTATGCTCCTTTCGAACACTAAAGGTGTTTCCTGTTCAAATACTTGGCGTGAAGAAAATTGGGTGTCACATTATCTAGCGGATCAAACATCAACCCAATTACAAATTTTCAACCGGGCCGAAGACTTACCCATTTCAGCTAAGAAGGCTTTCTTCATGCACTTATTTGGAGTTCCAGCTCTTAGACTTTTGTAATTTTCTTTTATCATGTAATTTATGAGTCAGGTTTTATGCCCCCCATATTTTTTTACTTTTTTTCTCTCACATTTTTTTATCTCGATGTATTTAGAGGAGGTATGCCTTCTCCGAAGAGGTTTTTGTCTAGTCCCCCGTTCTTTTTCTATCTCTCTCATCTTTTTTATTCATAAAACTCTGGTAAATGTTCTTCGGCATTTACCCCACCGATTTTGATGGTGTACCTAAGCTACCGGGTTTAAAAAAATTCAAAATCAAGACCACCCCATTTTCACAAAAATTAATCCAGAATTAGGTGTAGCCCAACATTACTCACCCATAATTAAAACTTCCATTACCACAATAAGCCTTTAATGACATTGTGTATAAGCTAGTGATGGGATAAGGTTTCTTCACATGAAACTCTTCATCTTCTTACGTTCTCTCGCATACATTCTCACAAACACTAAAGTCCTCCATTTGCCCAGCTTTTTCCTTCGTTCTAATCTCGACTACCTACTTCTTTCCCTAACAACATAGATCGGATCCCATAACGCTTTTTATTAGACGAAGTGACATGTTAAAATTTGAAATTTTACAATGATTAAAGCCAGAAGAAATATTATCTCTCACACAAGTTGACTTAATTTAATATATTGACACGATGTTTTAAAAAAACTATCACATAGTCATATTCATTTCTATGAATTCTCTTAAATTGTTATAAAATAAATAAGTTAGGCAAGAAATATTTGACATCACTAATCCAACTTTGTAAGCTCATATCAAATTTAGCCTATTTTTCTATTTGGCCCAACCACCCACACACTAACAAAATTAAGTTAGGGTTTTTATCATTTACTCAAACTGTTCGCCCCCTCACTTTTCTCTCCCGCCAGCTCAATCTCTTGTCTCTTTGATTCATATTTTTGTTAGATATTTTTAGAATTTAGATAATAATCATATGTCCAGGTCTCTTTCTCCTTGTATTTTCCTGGTTATAGATAATATTTTGTCTAATATATTTGTTTGATGTGTTATCTTCTCCAAGAAGTTCTCTGTCCGTGCAATCAGGTTCCTGTCTCATGAGGCTAAGTTTTCTTTGAATTATTAGCTATGTTTAAGGTTCTTTATATCTTACAACCCAATGTTTTAAATACTTTTATGCATATATGTTTTTAGAATCCCACGGATGAAGAACTGTCAAGCGAAGATGAGCTTTTACGTCTCTGTAATATGGTAAGATTATCCGTATACTTCGTATATACCTATATTTGGGCACAATATGTAAAAATAATTTACCATTCAATTAGCAAAACCAAAAAACTTCTTTAGTCGCATATTTAATAGATTTTGGCTGCAGGTTGAAAAACAGTCGTACTCCTTCCGGTCCTAAATAAACTTCACACTTTGACTTCACACAAATTAAGGAAATAAATTTGACTTTACTGTAGAGTACACTGTTTGACACTATTTTGCACTGTTTTGACGTAGATAATTTGCCAAATAAGGAAGGGAGAAGAAGTGTGAAGTTTATTTTGGAGCTACCCAAAATGGAAAGTGTGAAGTTTATTTAGGACTGGAGGAAGTATTTTTTGTAAAAGTAGGTTTATGAAATGATCATTATAGCTTTTTTTATATATATAAAATAGTTCCACTCTTCAACCTTTTTTTATCTTCTTTTAACACTATAAGGAAAAATGTGTTTTATATTAGCACCATAGTAAAATTGTTTCTTTAAAATCCTTTATGTTTTTCTTTGTTTTAGAATATGAATTCTGCCTTAACGTTTTTGTTTATAAAATGCCACAGTATTATTCTTCAAAATATATTTTAAAAATACATCTTAAATAGCCTATGCAAAATCTAAAACTCAAGAAAGTCAATTTTAAAATATATTTTGCCACTTTTGGTCCCCCAACTATTGTGTTAGTGACACTTTTGGTACTCGACTTTTAATTTTTCCATTTTTAGTCCTCGACTATTGTGCGAGAGACACTTTTAGTCCCCAACTTTCAATTTCCCAACATTTAGTCCTTTGAGTATTATCAAATTGACAATTTTAGTCCTTCTACTATGATTTTGACACAATAAGTGAAGGACTAAAAATGTCACTATTGCAATAGTTGAAGGATCAAAAGTGTCACTTTTACAAAAGTCGAAGAACTAAATACGAAATTTTTTAAAGTCGGGTACCAAAAGTGTCTCTCGCACTATAGTCTAGGACTAAAAATGGAAAAATTAAAAGTCGAGTATCAAAAGTGTCACTGATACAATAGTCGAGGGACTAAAAGTGGCAAAAACTCTATCTATTTTTTCTAAGTAAATACCCATATTTTTGTGTTGTATACCCGACAAAATCTTGGGATCGGAGTTGCTTTTTCATTCATTTAAAAACAATCTTTTCACTGATCTTGTTTGTTGTCTAAAATTTATTTACACAAACTATCTACAATTCTCACTGATATTTTAAACTTGTAAAATACGCAGTACATCATAATTTGACATTAGCTATGAGATACAGAGTATTACTTTTTCATAAAATTATGAAACTGTTCTTAGAAAATTATTACGGAGTATATGTTTTACATATAGTCATATAGTGAAGTCCTCCTATGAGAGAAAACATACTTTTTATATGGAGTATTTAAATCACTGCTTTCTACTCTATTCGTAGTTTCAAATATTTTTGCTAGAAAATGCTTAGCTTGTAGGATAATCATAATTATGCTTTTAATCCATTTAAAAGTTGATGTATTTCAATTCTTTTAAAAGGTAGTTAATTTGTAAGCAACCTATCAAGTCTAACAATATTTATAGCAAAGTTAGATATATGCTTATCTAACTTAATCTAGTCAATACTTATCTAATTTACATAAGTTTTTACATGATTTGGAAAATCAAAAACTCAAAGATGCATGATTTTTTAAAATCTATTTTTTAGAAGAAAGTTAAATTTTGTCTAAAATTATAGATGTTGATGTGGGGATGAATAAACATAGCATTAATCAATAAGAATAGCTAAACAAATTACATGCATGTTTGGTGTTCACCTGCTTTATTGGTTTTACTAATTGAGAAAGTCAAAATCACAGTAGTTATTTGTCATTTCTTCTTATGAATATTCACGCCTTTTAACCTATGATGTACTCTGGTAAAAAAAACTTATGATGTACTCATAGATTGCCTTACTTCTTAATATGTTGATTGTATGTCATTTGTCTTTATTTCAAATCTGGCCAAGAATCCAGAACCATAACCTTCAATACATAAATTTCTATAACCAAATGAAATTTTAAACATAACCAAAGAAAAATATTTCGTATGAATTTTATTTTATTTCTTCTCAAATATGACATCCAGAAAAGGGGTGGAATTTCTGTCTCTTGACCATGTTAACAATTAGTTAGTGTAGAGTGGCAGTAAGATATCTGATGTGCGTCACGAAAAATACATCACTCCATGCTTGGCTGACCGTCCTCACTTTTACTGCAAATGAAAACTTGCTTTACTTCACAACACTATCGTTTCGAATGAACAAAGATAACAAAATAATCAGGTAGCACTATCTGTGAAGCAGGAACTGAACAACATTGTGTGCATTGAGTTATCTATTCATACTAATTATGATGTAAATAATCGATTAAGTTCCTTACATTGAGCTTGCCAATTTAATAAATTTGACATATTTCCAATGAAGACTTTTTAGTGCCGTAAATCCACAAAGGAAACCCAAAGGGTTGGACAGGTGTTTTTAAGAAGCATTTGGACGGATGGTTAATGCAATAAATGTCACAATAATCCAGAGATGTAACAGGCAATGCATTAAATGATAATAATCTGGTGCATCTCTCCGCAAGGCATAGTAGATTGGACTTGGCATTTAGGCGGGAACACTGTGCAAAACCCATTTACTATTATATTATAATAGATTATTGAACTTCTCTCTCTAGCTCTCGCTTCTCTCTAAGAATATATACTCTATCATTTGGTGCTTTCATTGAGAGCTAGAACAATCAAGTTAGCCTCCTTCGTCGCTACCAAGCACAGCTAACTGACCATGGGAAGAACTAAGTCTAACCGTAACATCCTCGGCAAGGCCATCCCTGAGGCCCAAGAGAACAGGGAACACGAGAAGGACGTTATGGCCGACAAGGCCGCCGGCGATGATGTTTTCCAGGAGGCCATCGACCTCACGAATGACCTTCGCCACCAGCTCAACGGCGGCGCCCCTGATGCCCGCATCGCCCTGGAGAAGAAGCATCTGGACAAGGGCGACAATGCCTCGGGACAACCGACTTCTCCTTCCGTTGACCCTCAGCTCCAAGCCGCGCTCTTGGTCATCATCGCCAGCTTGGCCCAGAACCCCACCGTCCTTAGTGCACTCATGCCAAGGACGGGGGAGAACACGACGCCGGCTTCTCAACACGACGTCATCCCACTCCCACCCTGCTTCCCCACTTCGAGCTGGACCGACCCCAGCGCGTGGAAAAGCCTCAGCCTTTAATAGGCTAGGTGACACGTTCCATCGGCCTGTTTGGGAGAGGATGGCAGGACGGATTGGTGGGAGTGAGCCTGGCTCACCCAGGGAAAGCTCTGGGTCCGTATCCCAGACGGCGGATCGGCCCCGTCTGGACAAAGGCAAGGGAAAATTGCATGAGGGTGACGCACGCCACCAAATCAACACGGCTCACGCATCCCGCTTGCAGACACAGGGCACCACCATGGCCGCCAAAGACCCCAGGGACGAGGTGATCGCCCAACTCGAGCGAAGGCTCGCTCGGATGGAGGCCAAGCAGCTGCCCACCACCCCCGCGGGCAACTCATCCAGGGATCCCGGCTTCAACGCCCTCCTACACAAAGTCAGCGTCCTCGAGAGGGAGTTGGCCGAAGGAAGAGGAGATCCCATCGTCCAGGTTAAGACGAGGACTCCATTCACTGACAGGGTACTCTCAGCCCCTATTCCCGAGAAGTACAGGGGAAACGCCATCAAGCCCTATGACGGCCGCTCCGACCCTCAGGAGCACTTCAGCCGCTATCAGAACAACATGTTGATGGTGAACGCATCGTATGAATACCTCTGTCATTGGTTCCTTTCCACTCTGGAAGGGTCGGCGTACGAGTGGTTCAATGCACTCCTCGAAGGAAGCATAGATTCATGGCAGGATCTTGCCCAGCGCTTCCTCCCTCACTTTGCCGGGAGGAAGCGCGCGAAGAAGTATTTCACCCATCTTCTCTCTGTCAAGCAGCAGCATGACGAGTCACTCCGGTCATTCATTGATCGATGGACGAGGGAGACCGATGAGGTCGAGGGGGCCGATGAGAGCACCCTCCTTGTCCTCTTTCAGGGCGCCCTCCGCAGCACCCCATATGCATGGAGTCTCATCACCGACCCTCCGAGGTCCTATATGAAGGTGCTCCAGCAGGGGAACTTATACGCTGACGCCGACGAGCTCCATAGCCACAAGAAGGACGGAGGGCACCCCTCTAAGAAAAATGTTGCGCCAGCTCCAGGCGCACCCTCAGCCGAGGAACGAGGTCACGGAGGACAAAGCCGCCATGGATCTGGCAGAAAGAACAAGGACCGCATATGGCGGCCGAGGATGGAAACGCCAAAGATCCCACTCACTCATTCGGTCAGCTCCATCCTCGATTATGCCGAGGAACATGATCTCATTGAACGAGATCCTCGGTCGGCGAAGGAAATCTACGTCATTCATCAGGGCAGCACCTACTGTCGTTACCACAGGAACACCTCCCACAACACAGACGACTGCGTCACGCTGAAGAGAGCCATCGAAAAGCTGATTCGTCAGGGGGAACTCTCCCAATTCGTTAAAGGTGGCCCACGAAAAAATACGTGGGTAAACACCAGCAAAACTGGGGTCGAACCCTCCACGAAGAAGCGCGAGATCGGCAGACTCAGCGACGACGACGAAGAGTTCGAGGAGCCCCCTCCGAAGAAAAACCACATCCATCTTATCGTGGGGGGGAACACTGGGGGGGACTCATCCACCCAGAGGAAGAAATGGGCCCAACCCCTTTACATCGGGGAGGTGTCCCACGCTCCCCCTAGCCGAAGAAGCAGCGGACGGAGGCGATAACCTTCACCGACAAGAATCTGCCTCCGGGACCCGCATCACACAGGGACGCCCTCGTCATCCGGTGCGAGATAGGTAACTCTATCATCCACCGCACTTACATCGTACGGGGAGCTCCGTCAATGTCATGTACCTTGACACGTTCAAGCAGCTGAAGCTGAACAAGGCCCTGCTCAAGCCGATACGGACACCATTGTCCGTCTTCACCGGGGATTCTATCGACGCCCAAGGCACGATAGTCCTCCTCGTGGAGGTCGGCGACGGCTCCCATCACGCTAAAATTGACATGGAATTCATGGTGGTCAACCTCGAGTGCGCCCACAACCCTATCTGGGGGACCTGAAGGCCATCATCTCCATGAAGCACTTGTGCCTAAAGTTCCCTACCAGTGACGGTATCGGCTACGCCAAGGAGAATCAGAGGATAGCCAGAGCATGCTACCTGAAGCTGACGAAGCCGGCCGTAGGCGCCGAGCAACGGGTGGACACTATCACCGCCACCGTCGCCAAGGACGAGGAGAGGCCACATGCTGAACCAGCCGAAGAGGTCGAGGAGGTCCCCCTAGATACCTCCCGACCGGAGTTGGTCCTAAAAATCGGGAAGCAACTCCCACAGGACCAACGCGACGGCATCCTCAGAGTCCTACAATCATATGCAATCATTTTTGCGTGGGGGCCGGACGACATGCCATGCATCAGCCGAAAGGTGATCACTCACCGGCTGTCAGTCGATCCCGCCTCCACGCCAGTCAAGCAGAAGCGACGCTACCTATCAGCCGACAGATGGGACTTCATCAAGGGGGAGGTCACCATGCTCCTCTCAATCAGCCACATCAAGGAGGTGAAGTACCCAACCTGGCTGGCCAACGTCGTCCTTGCCCAGAAGCCGCCGACGTTCAGAATGTGTGTTGATTACACTGAACTGAACAAGGCATGCCCTATGGACCCGTACCCTCTCCCCAACATTGATCAATTGGTGGACAAGATGGCGGGTACAAGCTGATGTCGTTCCTTGACGCCTTCAGGGGGTACTTGTAATACTCGACATTTAATTTAAACAGATTAATAGTACTACTCATACCAACAAGGTGTCCCCCTGGGAACTCATTAGCTAAGAACTCCAAAGTTAAGTATGCTTGCACGGGAGTAGTCTTAGGATGGGTGACCCCCTGGGAAGTTTCTCAGGGCGCACACGAGTGAGGACAAAGTGTGCGGAAAAGGCTAGTGGCGGTTTGTGAAGACAGTACTAGAGGTCTGGAGGGTGTGTTGGAGTAACTACCTTGGGCCCTATGGGGCGGGGTGTTACAGGTGGTATCAGAGCAACCCTGCGATAGTGTGTTATCTCGTTAGATATCGGGCGGGAACTTAGCAGGGGAGATTCTGGGATTTCATTGAGATTTGAAATTGGTTTACGAGCGCAATGAGGACGTTGCGTTCCTAAGTGGGGGTGATTGTAATACTCGAGATTTAATTTAAACAGATTAATAGTACTACTCATACCAACAAGGCGCATCTTCTTTTAAGGGAGCTCATTAGCTAAGAACTATAAAGTTAACTGTGCTTGCACGGGAGTAGTCTTAGGATGGGTGACCCCCTGGGAAGTTTCTCAGGACGCGCACGAGTGAGGACAAAGTGTGCGGAAAAGGCTAGTGACGGTTTGTGAGGAAAGTACTAGAGGTCTGGAGGGTGTGTTGGAGTAACTACCTCGGGCCCTACGAGGCGGGGTGTTACAGTACCACCAGATCTTCATGCACAAATATGATGCCAAGAAGACGACCTTCATGACCCCGGAGGAAATTTTCTGCTACCTCGTCATGGCCTTTGGGCTCAAAAATTCAGGCGCCACATACACCAGGATGGTAGCCAAAGTCTTCAGAGAAGTGGGCGATCTTCCTCAGCCAATTCGAGATTGAAATCAAGCCAAGGTCATCTATCAAGGGGCAAGTCTTGGCCGATTTTGTCACCGAGTGCACGGAAAGGGAGATTGCTGCTACCACACCCGGGCCAGAGCCAGACAAAGCATGGACTCTCTTCACTGACGGTTCATCGGCCGCCAAAGCATGTGGGGGCGGCGGCGTCCTCATCTCCCCTGAAAGATTTAGAGCGTATTATGCCATCCGCTTCAACTTCACGGTATCCAACAACGAAGCCGAGTATGAGGCCCTCCTCAGCGGCCTCAGACTCGCCGCCGGCCTCAAAGTGCAGCACATCAGAATCAGATGTGACTCCAAGCTGGTAGTGGGCCAAATTGAAGGCTCATATGAGGCCAAGGAAGGGAGGATGAGGCAATATAAGCAGGCGGCCAAGGAGTTGCTCAAAGCGTTCGAAACCCATGAGATCACACAGATCCCAAGGGCGGAGAATGTTGAGGCCGACATCCTCTCCAAGCTCAGCACAGACACTGCAGAGCACATCTCCAAGATAGCCAAGGTCGAAGAGCTAAGCATGGCCAGCATCCATGCCAGCCCGATCATGTGCATCCAGCATCGGTCGGAAGACTGGATCACCGACATCACAACCTTCATCACTTCGGGAGAGCTGCCCCAGGACGAGGAGAGGGCCAAGCTGGCCAAACTCAGGGCCCCAAGCTACACCATCGAGGACAGAAGGCTCTACAAAAGATCCTACAACGGCACTCTCCTCCGATGCCTACAATCGGATGAGGCCGAAATGGCCATGGAGGAAATCCACTGCGGCGTCTGCTCCTCACATCAGGGCCCTTTCAGCATGTCCTGGTGTCTCGTCGTCCAGGGCTATTTCTGGCCGACAATGGTACGGGATTGTGCCAATCTTGCAAATAAGTGTACTGCATGCCAGGTCCTTCAGAAGGCCCCTGGTCGGCTAGCCGTCAACTACGCCCCGATCAGCACCGCAATCCCATTCTCAAGATGGGGGATTGACCTGGTCGGCCCCTTGCCCAGAGCTGCTGGTAACAACTGCTACATCATCGTCGCCGTCGATTACTTCACCAAGTGGGTTGAAGCGGAACCTTTGGCCAGCAACACAGGGGCCAGATGCCAGAGGTTCGTCCACAAGAATATCCATACCCATTTCGTCGTTCCCCAGGAGATCATATCCGATAACGGCACCCAGTTCGAGGCCGCACCCTTCCAAGAGCTCCTCCAAGAATGGGGAATCATACACCATTTCTCCTCCGTTGCCTATCCTCAAGGTAACGGGCAAGTCGAGAATGCCAACAGGTCCATTCTGGAGGGGCTGAAGAAGAAGCTCTAGGACGCAGGAGGTAGTTGGGCCGATGAACTTCCCAACAACCTGTGGTGCTACCGTACGACGTCGAGGAAGGTGACGGGCGAAACACCATTTTCCCTTTGCTATGGTTTTGAGGCAAAGGCACCCACAGAGGTCACCATACCCAGCCAACGGGTGGAACAATATGAGCCTGAGGCCAACGAAGAAAGAATGAAGATCGACCTCCACCTGGTCGAAGAAAGACGAGAGCAGGCCTTCATCCGGGCAGAAAACTACCGGCGTCAAGTAAAATCATACTATGATGCCAAGGTACGTTCCCGGGAATTCCAGGTGGGGGACTATGTCCTTCGCCGAAGGGAAGCGAGCAAGCCGACGAAAGGTGGCAAGCTGGCACTCAAATACGAAGGCCCATACATCGTCAGCGCCGTAGTCAAGCTCGGCACCTACAAACTAAAACACCCGAATGGGTCTAATGTACCACGAACGTGGAATGTACATCACTTGGTGAAATTCTATCAACAATCCAGGTATGGTGAAGCCGGCAAAGCCCTCACCTCTCCTCGGGTTGTTGATCGAATGCCACCCTCGGCCTCGAGCCACCTTATCAATAAAAGTTGTATTCTATTTGCTTTTTCTAAAAATAGTTTAAGGAAAAGATACCATATTACATCGACCCCTTAGAGTGAAACGCTCAGGAAAGGCCGACAGAGCACATCGTATCGGCCCCTTAGAGCGAGACGCTCAGGTAAGGCCGACCGTGTCTCCAGGATGAGGGGCCCGCAAAGAGCCCACGTCTTGAAATGGGAATCTCACCGTGTCATCCACTCGCGAAATCGCAGGACGACAGGTCTGAAATCATGGCCGAGGTGACAGAAATCCCCAAACTTAGGGATGAGGAACGGAAGCCGTCGGTAACCGACCAAAAGCCTTAGCCCGCGTCATAAATAGACGACGGGACCTCCCTGAGATCACGGGACGATCCAGTAGGACTCCCTACCGGCCGAGAGACTATCAAACCCCTCGGTCGAAGCCTGAAAGAAGGATACCCACTCCTCGCTTAAAGAAGTAAAGAGGAAGAATATAAAAGAGGGACAGCCGAAGGTCCATGCACTTGCCGGCCTAAAAGCAATATCCCCACAAATAAAAGAGGGACATCTGAAGGACCATGCACTTATTGCCGGCCTAAAGTGATATCCCCACAAATAAAAGAGAGACAACCGAAGGACCGTGCACTCGCCGGCCTAAAGCGAAATCCCCAAAAATAAAAGAGGGAAGCCGATGGACCGTGCACTCGCCGGCCTCGCGCAATAAAAATAAAATCCCCCAAAAATGACTAAGTACATATCAGTTAGACATTTACAGTATGGACGAAGCATTCATGCACAAACAAAAAAAAACTTGGACAAAAGTTCCAAGGCAAACTCTTGTGGCGGACGAGGGCACGAAATAGCCGGCAGGTAACCAAATGGTTTGTGGGAAACTCACTCAGCCGACCAGGGGGCAAAACCTTTCATCGGACACTCCCAGATGAAATAACTACCTAAGTATGAATACTTGGAAAAATTTCATGGTACTTAGAGAATTCCCAAGTGGCATCAAGAGCGGCCGACAAGAATCCCAAGGCCGAAAGTAAAACAAACCGCCTAGTTCCTTTAGCCGAAAGTGGAAAAATACTCCCAAACAAGGACCAACGACCCTCATCGTCTACAACGGGGCAAAGCAAGTACATACTCTAAGCTAAACACTTAGACATATTTCCCAAAGAATGAGATAGCCAACAAGCAGTACAAGAACGAGGAGGACATCTCTCCCAAAGCCGATCAAAGGGTGAAACCCTTCGTCGGCCATGAGTACGGGAAGCAACTACTCGAACTTTTGTTTGACACTTAGAAAAATTTGAAGAGTAAAGACAAAAAGAAAGCGACAAATAACAACATACAAAGACGAAGAAGACACTAAAGACAGAGGAACCAATATATTTCCATTAGTGTTCAAAATACAAGAGGGGGCACTACGGCCGTTACATATTGTCAACAAAATAAAAAAGAGAAGGCTCGGGCTTCTTCAGCACCAGCAACGGGAATAGGCACACTGGCGGCATCATCGGCCTGGGAGGAAGCAGTATCCACAAAGATGTCGTCATCACCCCAATCTTCCTCGCCAATTTCAGAACTCAGAATGGGGGACTGCTTGGCCTCGGCCTCTGGGTCCTTCATCTTCAACCTCGGCCTCTGGGTCCTTCATCTTCGGCGGCAACTTCAGCTTGGCGGCAAACTTCTTCGTCAGCTTTAGTTCTGTGAAGCGCCGATGAAGCCTCAGATAGATCAGCCGTTGCATCCGTTGCTGGCCCATGTCGTAGTATACCGACATCTCCCTCTCAAAGTACTCCTGGTCGGCAGGAGAGTTCGCGCCCCAATCTTCGAGACTGGCCGCCACAAGCTCATAGCACCAAGGTCGATGCTCCTCAGCCTTCGGCCAGGAACTTATCAATGGCAACATCGGTGGCCCTCTCAGCAACCTTCTCGGCCTCAGCTCTGGCCTTCTCAGCCTCCTCAGCACGATGCAGGGCTTCTTCACGGCCCTTCAGCGCCTCATCTTTTTCCTTCAAGGCATCATCCCTATCGGCCGCCACTTGACGGTAGGCCACATCGTCCTCATCGACCGTCTTCTTCATGGCCTTCACCTTGCTCCGTAGCCGATTTAGGCAGCTCATTGCTTCCTCGGCCGAGGCAGCCTTTTGCTCGACTTCTTTCAGCCGAGCAATCTCTTGTTGCTGCCTCCTGTGGCTCTCCATCAGCATGAAGGCCCTTGCAAAAATGAAAGGGTTAGGATGATGCAAACACTCATGACAACAACAAAAACAACAGAATGTGCAAAGGATCTTACCTGGACGACGAGGTCCATTCCGCCGTCATATATCCTGACGTTTCCAAGCTTGCCAAGATAGGCCCGGCCCTCAATGGGGATGGCCTGTGAGATCACATCATGGCCGTCAACAACCTCGTTGAATACGCCCCCTTCACGAGGTACTCGACCTCTAATTTGTAGGTCCCCGTGACCATCTCCTTGCCAGATCGCTTCTTCCGGGAGTCTTGGCCGACGGGGGGGAGGCTGAGAGACAGCAGTGGAAGAAGGTTGGGAAGTCAAATCCACAAAGGCAGCAGCACTGGAGCCCCCACCGTCTCCGGCTGGTACAGTCATGGCCCTGGTGTCAGCATCGGCCAGGGGAGAAGCTTTCTTCGACTTCTTGGCAGGCTGCATGTCGGCCTCAGTCAGCTTCTTTTGGCCATCATCGGCCTGCAGTTTCTTCTTAGGCTGAGTGGGCGGCTTCGACGGCTGAGCAGCAGTCGACTGTGTCCCGGCCTCCATGGACAGCTTCGCGGCATCTTTGGCGGCCTGTTCAGCGGCCACCTTCACCTTCGCCCTCACCATAACAGATCGGCGATCCATGACAAAGTCTACATACAAAGAAAGAAGACACATTAGCAAAATAAAGAAAAGCAAAAGGGGATCAAGCATGTTGGGAAGGCATTACCATCGGCTTCGGCAGGCACGCCCAAATCAGGACCATCGGCCTCCTCAAAGGTGGTAGCCATCTTCGGCCAAATGTCGACATCCTCCTCCTTGTCCCCGTACACGAAGTACCTCACAAAGCCGATGGCAGCCATCTTATACTCTGTGATGTAGTGTTTCACGCTCCTCGGCCCTCCTTCCAAGAAAGCCTCCACCTGAGCGTCCAAGATGGAACTCTTCGGCGCGTCATGGAGGTTAAATCTGCCACTGTGGCCAACAGAAGGAAACTCGGTTCCACCCTCACCCAGAGACATGAAGACAAACTTACTTTTCCATCCGTGGATGGACATCGGCAGATCAGAGAAGGACCTCCTTTTCTTCACCTCCTGCAGATTGGCATAGCTAGCACAGTTCTGGTGGCTCCCCCGGCCTATCTGGTACAGGTTCATGAAAAGAGCCATTGTCATCTTGAAACCCAGCTCATCGCAGCGGAGGAGAAAGCTGATGATCAACGAGTAACTGTTCGGGGTCAGCAGGGCCGGAGGAAGTTCCACCATGTCCAAGTACTCTGTAATGAACGGATGGAGGGGAAACCTAAGCCCCTTAGCAAAACTTGTGAGGTATACTCTAAAGTACCCCGGTGGGGGATACAGTACGTGGTTCGTCGACTTAGGGGCCCTAACCCTACCAAACGGCTCACGTACATCTGAGCAACCAAGTACTCGGTCACGCAGCTCTGCGGTCTGATGGCACGGACGTTAGCGAGATCCAAGAAGGAGAAAGCAGGTCCCTTCTTCGGCTGGCGCCTTCTCTTCGACGTTGTCCCTTTAACTGCAGACACCGGTTTGGGGCAAGGAATAGTAGCCGACGTAGACGCCCCCGTCCACGGCATGAGAGACTCCTACGTCCTCAACCTCAGATGACGAGGTGGCCTCCTCGTCCTGGTTCTCCTCAACCTCTTGCTCCCCTGACTTGAAGGAGCTCAGATCCTCTATCTCCTCGCAACACTCCTCTACCACCCGGTAGTCAAGTGATTTGACGAAGGCCTCATCATCATATGGGTAGTATTCATCGTCCAAAGTCTTCATCTTAACAGCTAAAGAAACCCTAATGGAAGCTACTTTGGATCTAAGGTTGATTTTTCACTAACACTAGATCAAGGCCCTAGGGAAGTAAAATATGCAAGAAATCGGAGAAGGGTTTGATGAACTGACCTTTGAAGTTTTGAAGAAACGGAAGAACACCGGCGAGCACTTTATCTCTCTAGAAATTTGGGCAGCACTTCGTTCTTTGAGAATGCAATAGGGAGCTTCTTCGGATGGAGGGGGGGTATTTATAGACCTCCCCCCCCCCCCAACGGTCACTACACGTGGCGCTCCTCCATTGGCCACACGAACGGCCACCCCCCCAAGGCCCATTGGGTTGACACTGTTTCAGAAGATGGGTCAGGCCCACTTCCATCAGTACCAGTCCATCGCCAACGTGCCAGTAATCAGCGTCCATAACGGCCAACCATTCAACGGCCACACCAAGAAGAAATACTTGCCTCCACAGGGCACTATACATCGGCCCTGGTAGCCAATAATCATTTCAACGGCTGGTCACACCACAAAGTGTGCCCATATCGGCTTAAGACATTACCAACAAAAGGGCCCCTTCAACAGCCATAACAGCAAAGCAAAAAACAACTCAACAACCATCGGCCTTGTATAAAACCATGATGATAACTTCTTGAAAGCGGCCTGCGTCCAAGGGTTCTCCCACAAGGTTACCTTGGTCAGGAATCGCCAAGGGGTTGGATTCAGGGGAATACAAGGATCCCACTTCGGCCTAGGGTTACACCTTACTCCTTCACCCCTCGCTCACTCTTCAGTCTGAAGCAGTGGGGGAGTGGGGGACTACACCGGCCTCTGGAATACAAGAGAGGACAAAATCAAAGAAATCCAAAAATATATCAAGTCCACAACCACAACATTAGGACATATATGCACCATAACGTCAATGACTTGTGGAGCACCTTCGGCCGTAACAAAGACAGCAAACAAAGAACTCCTCCCAAGATGTGATGTGTATCGTCTCTGAACGCGCTCCACTCAATGGCTTTGAGATTACATACTCCACTCTCGGCCAAGAAACAAAAAAAGGAACCCAACGTCCTCGGGTCACCATCGTCCATAAGATCAGAGTGCGCACAACTTCTTCTGGAACAGCGCCGCTATCATCCTCAAGGATGGACAACAAACTACGAATACCACCGCTTCGGCCTATAGCACAAAAGCAATCATTTGGTCTCCTCGGTCAAGACACCAGAAGCAACTGCCAACAACTAGGAAGGAGAAACATCACCCGCATCAGATCAAGAGCACATATCGGCCACTCAGCCAGGGGCACTCATCGTCCTCAAACAAACTTACCCCATCAGAGGAAAATCAGCCTTCTTCGTCCACAGCGAAAGGCATACAACGGCCAAACACGAAGAACCAACAGGAAATGGCCACAAAGGCCATAACGGCCAGAAGACATCAAAACTATGGAATCTACTCTCCCTCACTTCGTGTACATCTCAGCTCAGAAAGTAGGGGACTCCTGATGGAGTATATGGGCCTGGACCCCAGGACCCACATAATCAGAAGAATGAGAGGCACAGGTGTCACCCAGTGGGGCCTCCGTCGGCCAGATGGCCCTCCATCGGCTAGAAAGATACCAACACAGAACATGGTCCAGAAGCCAGGAGAACCGGGTGTCACCGTCGGCCGGGTCTCTGTCGGCCATGGCTCCGTCGGCCAGAAAGGGCTCCCAGAATCGGGCTTCACACTTAATTATTTCTACATCTCTTGTACTCAGCCCAATAGTGGCCCAATTGTAAATGGGCCTCCCAAACCCAAGACTTGGGAGCCCAGCCCTAATTTCCTCTATAAATACTCCCCTTGGGGGTAGTTGTAGGGGGTTCACAAATCATTTATTGTAAGGAATTATTGCATTTCTCTCTCTAGCTCTCGCTTCTCTCTAAGAATATATACTCTATAAACAATCATGACCAAAAGCAGAAGAACTAGAAATTAATTTATGTTACCTAAGTCTAGTAAGAACTCTATCACCACAATGCCCCAACCGCTTGTGCCAGGTCAGACCAGGATTCCTGTTGCAAACGAATCACATAATTTGTCTGTATTACGTGCCTGAAGTAGAAGCTCCCCCGTTGGTTTGTCCTTAACAAAAAAAAGAATTTTTATCAAAAATCACTTGACAAGCATTGTCCGCACACAATTTTTGAATTGACAATAAACTATATTTAATATGTGGGACATGATACACATAGTTTAGATTTAGCGGGCGACCATGGGTGAGGAGCTTTAAGTGACCAACATGAGAAATAGGTAATTTAGTACCATTGGCAACACATACTTGATTGGGGCCAGTATAAGGAGTTTTATAAGAAAGAATACCTTCATGAGGAATCATGTGAGCAGAAGCCCCCGAGTCAGGATACCAGACTAAATCATTGGTTTCACCTGTAGGAAAAGCAGACAGAGTCGGGGTATGTGAAGATATAAAACGGGAGCATTGAAGCGCCGAGTGACCTGGAGAAAAACATAACTCACAAACAACTAAGGGGAAGGAGACTGATATGACTGATCCACAGATGGAAAACCTGCATAAGTATTGTGAGTAGGAGTAGGAGAATAATAATCAGTATAATTACAACCAGAAATAATATTACACAATGCCGAACCGGGTATCCCGGGAAATGCGGGTGCTCTCGGCTGCGGAGGAGCAGGCTGTCCCTGGTAAGGACCATGCGGCTGTGGTGCCGCTCCATATTGACCATAAGGCTGCTGGTAGTAACCCCCTCGGCCTCCTCGGCCTCTACCCCCTCGACCACGGCCCCCTCTCTGTCCTCGGCCTCGACCAGGACCCAGCGGAGCACCCCCTCCACGTGGAGCACCCCCTCAGGCTGCATGAGGTGCAGCAAATGCCTTAGGAGCTGGGACTGATTCTTGAGCCTGGAGGAATAAATTGTGCTGCTCTTGGGCTTGCAAAATGGGTCATATGTCTTCAAGTGTAGGAATCCCCGGCATGTAGTCGATGGTGGTAATGAGTGACTCATATCCACGGCCCAATCCAATAATAGCATATTCAATCAAATCACGTGCACTTACAGAAGATTTAATAGCCGCTAGAGAGTCAGCTAAAATTTTAATTTCTAACAAATATTGATCCATAGTCTCAGAGTCCTTTTTCACATGAGATAATAAACGCTTTAGCTCAGTAGAACGAGAAATACAAGCATACCTTAATCATTTCTGGAGTCTATCATATATCAGATGAGAAAATTTTAAATCATAGACTTCCATTAACACATCTCTAGCTAGCGTAGCAAAAAGTCAACAGCGGACAGTTTGATCAATTTTTAGCTAGTGGTGGTAATCAGCATTGGGAATTTCCTGTCTGGACAAATCATATGTAGTAGAGGATGGGATCGGAATCGATCCCTCAATGATACCCAAAAAACTGTGATAAACTAAAAATGATTCAAACTGTGTTCTCCAGGGCAAATAATCTTCTATTGAAGAAAGGCGGGTAGTCACAATATTATTAACATTCGGGGTAGAGAAAACCAATTGCTATGCCAGGGAAGATAGATAACTAGTTAGAGAATTAAAACTTGTCATGGAGGAAATCACAGACTGCTACAGTGGAGCCACGTCGGGCTGTCCAAAAAAAGTCGGGCCAAAAAAGATAGTTGATGATTTGCCTGGGTCCTGGAACACTGGAGGCGGTGGGAGTGTTGCGACCGTGGAAACTGACGGTGCCCATGTGAATGGCTCGGGCATGTTGAATAACCGAAAGGAATCTACCGCTGGAACTCCGTCGAGGCGCTGCGATAAAGAGACTGGCAGCGGCGAGCGTATTTGCGCGGTGGAGAAAGGACCGATCGGCGTGGATACCTGCGGGAAGGGCGCCGGTGTGCTGCTCGAACCCGACGGTGAGTCAGTGGTGAGCGATGCGGCAGGTATGGGAGAAACGCCGGAGAAGATGGGCTGCACCGCCGTGATGGGCGCCGTACTGATGGCGGCGGTAGGGTTAAGTTGGCCGGCCATGAGGAAAAATACCTAAGCGTCTAATACCATATACAAAACAATAATTTTGAGAAATAATGACGTGCTCGATCGGGTGTCATGAGGTAATATTTATACTAAACACAGTTTAGGAAATTACATAGTAATCCTTATATAAATACATTATTATTAACAACCCCCAAATTACTAATCACATCCTCCAAATTAAATATTATTGAATTTATTAATTCGAATAACCAAATTGCCCTTAATATGGCCAGTTCCTATATCCTACACCCGGGCGTACATGTACACCCGGTTTTTTTGTAATTAGTGGCATAAATAGTGTTTCTTTTTTCCGCCGCATGCCATGCTCCCCACTCCTCGGTCATCCTTGTTTTTTATATATCCATACTCCATCTGTGTTCTGATTTTACTTTTCTTCATCTTTTGTATCTCCGAATTTGTGTGAGATTTCTTTTAGAAAAGTGACACTATTCGATTTAGTGTCAGAAACTGATGACATAACTGAAAGTTTACACATAAGTATCACTAATTTCTGACACAATAACATCACCATTTAATAGTGACACTCAAGATGAAAAAACGGGGTCATATTCATAATTTATTAAAATATTTTTTTTGAAATGGGGTTTATTTTATAAATTTTAACTCTAACCCTTCACACGCAAGAGTATCCAATCCTTCATCTTCCGCTGCTGCGCTTCAGGACCCAACCCTTCTCGGCTCCGATCCTTCACACGCAGGAGTATCCTCTCCTCCTTTAACGCTTTACGTCTCTTTCCCTTTTCTCCATTTTCTTTTTCTGTAAATCAATTGACCATCCAGGGAAGAGAAAGACTACGAGAAATCAGTTATGCTACAGGAGCGCGAGTGAAGCACCGACAAAGTCACTTCAAAAGTAGTCTTGCAGCAAATCCTTCCTCTACGGAAATTAGTCGGACTCCTCCACCGCAGCTACTACACCCTTCAAAAGAACTGTTACATGAACTGGTTCGTGCGCGCAGCGGTGCTCATCGTCTCTATGAGAAACCCGATTACCAGGTTTCAGCGGCTGTATGTAATTGCGAATTTCGAAACTTGACAGATATTTGGATCTTCTCAGGCGCTAGATATCGTCATATCAGGTATGTGTTCCTTTCTTATCTAATTAATCTTCTGGTTTACATTTTATATAATGAAACTAATTGCTTTGAGATTTTGGGTTTTTAGTATGTTCAAGTTTTTAATTTTTGTATTAGAATTTGACGCGATTGTTGGCGAATGCATTTTTTGCAGGTATATTTATTATGTTCTGTTAAATATTTAGACCAATTTTACCTCTTTACATGTGTGTTTTCTTAATCTTAAATATATCACCCTAAATCCTTGAAACAAAATTGTTTCCATCTTCTGAGTTTGAATTGAAACTGGTGTTGGTAATTTCTTCTTATGTAACCCTGTATTGAAGTGTAAAAAGATCGTCCATTGAGCATTTTTTGAAGAATATCCTAATTGGGTCTTCAACTTTCAAAGTTGCACCTTCAAACGGAATATCGGTTGCAGAAGGTAAAGGTTATTGGCATGTACTTGCTAACCTATCTGTTATAGGAATTTTGACATGTTAGTTATTTATGTTATGTATAAAATCAATCAAGAGGAAGAGAGTTATATATTAAGATGCTCCTAAATACCCTGTGGACTAAACAATATGAGTTTAGCTTCATTTTTCTAAATGATTATTGAGGTTTATTAGATGAAAATATAAGTGAATCAATTGAGACATGAGATTATATGAATTATAATCTTACTACCTCAGATTGTAAAGAAATGAATTATGTATTTAGCTTTGCTTATGCTAAACAGTGTGTTAACTTTTTCACTTATGCGTTCAGTTCACTTGTCCAAGGATAATGAGGGCAATAATTTTGGATAAGCCAGTTGGGCAGAATAAAGAAACGGCCAACTACTTGAAGTATCCTAGGTCATGTACTGAAACTTTTAATAAATTCATCTAAATCTACTTTTCCTTACATGTTTCTAATTCAAAAGCTAAAATTACATCAGTGGATGTTTGCATTGGACCAAAGTAAAGAAATATTACTAGAAGTATGGGTTTAAAAATTAACTGCGACGTATTTGCTAACTGTTTTCAAGCAAAATAAAAAGAGGTAAAGAAAATTGGAAAACAAGCAAAAGAAATGTGAAGAAACTGCCAAGGCATTGAGGCAGGTTGTGAAAACTTACATACAAATTCGTTTATGGTTGTCTTTACCTAAAGGCCTAGTTTTACATAGTAATAAAAGCGTCCCTATTTTGTAATAGCGGTTTATATGTTCTTTTGTCACTTTTTATTGGAATAATTAAGAGAGATATATTACTTGTGTTTTCATGATACATTTCAGTAAAAAAGGAGATGCTCTCAATTTTCGAGTGTTGCTGGAATTCCTTATTCACTTGACGTTTATAACTCATTGTTTTTATGTAGAATTTTATTGATAGGAAGCTTTATTTCATAGGTAATTTGACTACTTTAGTTTGGGTCTTTTTTATATGTTTTGAACTAATGGTTTTGATGAACTGATGTACAGTTTTGTTAAAATTGAAGCTTTACGTTGACAGCTATGGTTTGGCTCTTTCTTTGTGGGGTTTTCATTTACATTACCTATTTTAAATGTGTGCTATTTTTCGAGATGAGTTGTGCTATTTATAACTAAACAATGTCATTACTTTGTATAAAATAATTTATTTTTTATCTCAAATGTACAGTAACTTCCTATTCCTGTTAGAGATGCAGTGTTCAGTGGGTTAAAAATTCCACTTTGTGAGAATTCTCTCATCGGTATACAGCTTAATATTGATAGAAGCATTGAAAATAGGTTTTTTCAGTATCAAATGTGCAGTAACTTCCTATTGAATATCTATCTTTCTGTTTCTTCCCTTGCATTGTACCTTTTTTACTTAATTCTTTATTGTCACAGATGATAAGTGATAAAGATAAGTTATAAAGATAAGTTACTCTAACGAAACCAACTCACTGAGATGAGTTACTCTAACGAAATAAATGAATTTTGTTATTTCAGTTTTGTAATTCACGGTTTCATGTTTACTTTTGAGTAATAAAGATTCTCTTTGTTGTTACTTGATAACAAACCCTCTAAATATTCATGTTTATTCTTATATTGACTCTATTAGATTATTAATTGTAAGAAAATAGCAAAGTCAGTTTCAAAATAGCATGCCGGTAAGCATATTTACCAATTTACTTATGTGTTTACATAAGTAAATAGCATAGTCAGTTTCAAAATAACATATTTACTTATGAGAATTACATAAGTACACATATTTCACTGTTTTTTCCGATTTGCAGGCACCTTTATGAAAAAATGTTGGAGGTGTTCACGGTGTATGAGAATATAAAAATGGTAAAAACGGATTTTTACAGCCCATTGTGTATGAGAATTTACCTATTTTCTGCCACAGGTGTTCACAGTTTGGCCACAAATTGACTGGCTGTCCTTGGGCAACCTCAATTTTGGGGGCCTAACTCACTGAGTTTGGATACTGATTGTGCCACTACTGCTGTGAATCTTGTACCTACTTCTGTTGTGCATACTGCACCTACTTCTGCTGCTACAGGTAATAAGGCTATTGCTGGTAAACTTGTTGTCTAGGTTGTTTCACCACAGCCTGGAATCCATGCTTTACTCGGTACATCTGATGGTGTTGGTCCTGTTAACACAGTTTGTGAAGTCCCTGATGATAATATTGTTATATGTTCCTTTGTTGACAAATGGTTCAACTTTCTGAATATTGTTTACCACAGAATACTTAGCAGTATATTATGTTCCTTTGCTGACAAATGGTTCAACTTTCTATTCTTACAGAAGGTTGATACGTGTAGAGAAGATGATGATTGTAGGGAAGAACAAAGTATGGTAGATTCCCTATTGGAAACTGTAGGTGTCAAAGTTGAAGATCCATCAACAAGAACACTAGCTTTTCTAGAGTCCAATAGCAGTCTTGATTCTAAAATTTTTGCTAAGCTCGTATGCATTATGACGGTTAAACAAATGGCTGGAAGGACATAACATTTGGATGCTTGTGATGTACTTTATGTGTTTCAAGGACCTATGTAATGACTACTTTATGTTTGCAGCCCTATGTAGTTAGACTAGAATTCAAGAATATTGGTATTTTGGATTTTGCTTTGTTTCCAAGAACAAGTTAACTTGTCTTTGAATTTTCATGTTGACTTTGATTTGAATCTAAATGGCAATTAATTAGTTAATTATGGGATACTTTGATTATGAATTTGTTTTATATTTGTCTACAAGCTTGAAAATTAAACTTTTAGGTGGATATGGTGGTGCAAAAAAAATATTAAAATTGTTCAATAGTTGATACTATAGTATCATAAATCTGGATGGCGCAAGAGTATCATAGGTTTTTGTAACATTAGTTATATCACTAATTTATATGATATCAAAGTGTCGTTAAGTATACCAATGCAAATGTATCACTATATTTTATGATACTAACGTGTCACAATTTACTGATACTTTTTAGTGACACGTTTTTTAGTGTCAGAGTTCCAACCATTCGTTGACACTTTTGTGGTGTCACTAAAACCTTTAGTGAAACTAATTTAGTGTCACTATAGACCATTTTTCTACTAGTGACACCCGGGCGTACATGTACACCCGGTTTTTTTGTAATTAGTGGCATAAATAGTGTTTCTTTTTTCCGCCGCATGCCATGCTCCACTCCTCGGTCATCCTTGTTTTTTATCTATCCGTACTCCATCTGTGTTCTGATTTTACTTTTCTTCATCTTTTGTATCTCCGAATTTGTGTGAGATTTCTTTTAGTTTTTTCTTCTTATTTACTTCCTTGTTTTGTTTATTGCTCCGATTTTGTTTCTCCACCAGCTCCTCACCATCTTCCCCAGGTGCTAAGCCATGCTTTGGTGTTGCGGTGGAACTGCCCACGCTAAAGGCGGTGGCGTTTCACCATGTTATAGCTGGCCGGCCAGCTAGCAGAACCTTTGTTTATGTTTGATCTAGAACAATTTATCTTAATTAAGTATATATGTCCAGTTTTTTGGTAAGCTTGATCGATTGATGTCAGCTAGCAGAGAGAAGCGTATTTGCCACCTAACTGGTGAGACCAAAGCTTCAGCCACTGCGGTTTTGGAGCTTCGGTGGTTTATTTATCTATTATAAAATATATATTTTAGTTATTAATGTTTTATTTCTCTACTATTAATTTAAGATGAATACTTATTAGTTTATTAAATATTATGTGTTAATTACAAATGTGAATAAATGAACATTTGAACACATTAGGAAATTCAAACGAGCTTTGGAATTTTAGTATAACACAAAACTCACATTTGTAATACTCAATAAATTATGGCAGATGCTCACTAAAAGTACCCTATTGCTCATTTAGTAAAAGCCGTGATTTTTTTATTAAATTACAAAAAATGAGTATCACGATCTTTGATTCATATCTTCTAATTCTATTTCTTTTTCTTATTTTTTATCTTACAAAAACATATTAAATTAAATCTATAATCCACCCCTATTAACTTCAATATGTGAGTCTAATGTAATATGATACTTTATAAATATGCATTGATATAACATTTTTAAAATGAGCTCACATCAGTACCAAATGAGCATACATTACTTAAGAAATGAGCATTGAAAAAATAAAAATGTGAACATATATGTCCGAATGTCCGGATCACATTTAAGAATTGAGCATTGAAAAAATAAAAATGTGAACATATATGTCCAGATGTATGTTCATTTTAAATCTTTAGTGTGCTCAGTTTGGCAATTTAAATGAAATTTGCGTCTTCTGCTAAATGAACTTTGATGCGCTTTTGGTGAGCATCAGACATATTTTATTGAGCATTAGAAACTTAACAATGAGCATCGTGATATCTGTTTCATATATTCTAATTCATTTTTTCTCTTTTATAAAAACTTATTAAATTATACTACGTATCTACAATCAACATTTATGAACTTCAATATGCGAATGTAATGTAATATGGTACTTTAGAAATATACATTGATATGACATTTTAAAAATGATCATAACAATAGTATCAAATGAGCAGACGCAACTTACAAAATGAGCATTGATATAAAGATCGTAAGTTTTGTTAGTTGAGCATCAAGACATTTTCATTGAACATCAAACTTCCTCTAAAACATGCAATTGAGTATCATGATCTCTACCCCCATGTATATAATTTAATTAACTCTTATGTGAATCTAAATGATACTTTTGAAATATAAATTTGATGGATAGTGTATCCGGGGGTATCTATCCGAGGGGTTACTGCGGGGAGTAACTTAGAGAGAAGTCAGAGCAAATAAGTAAGAGAGATAAAAAGTTCAAATGTGTATTCGAGTTGTATTGATCGAGCGTGGTTTACAAATGGAGAAAGGGGTGCTATTTATAGCAGCAATAAATGCTAGATAGGGACACGTGTCAACAATCTGGTGGTCGAGGGGTCACCTCAACTGGGGTGGCACTGGCATTCGCATGTGGCCGTATTAAATGTGGTGGTTGGATGCAACGTTTGTACTTGGTACGCTGATCTAGCGCATGTGGATGGGAGATCCTGTCGAGGAGGATGCCTTCGGCTGTAGATGACAGTCCGAAGGCTCTGCGTACCGGGGGCCTCATATTGTTGAGGACTCCAATTGACGAAGGCTTGGTTTTTAAGCCTTGTTCTCCTGCGATGTTTCTGAGCCCTAGTCTGTCACTGATGACCTTCGGCCATGGGGCCGAAGGCACCCCCTCATGCCTCATGGGCTGCCTAGAGCTTCACTATGCTGGGCTTGGCCCGTTTTGAGCCTTTTGGGCCTGAATGTAATAGTGGAAGTATGTGGGTCGGGGGGGTTCCTGGGCCATATACTCCATCAACATTAATATGACATTTTAAAATGAGCATAAAACCAGTATTAGATGAACATACGTAACCTACAAAATGAACATCGAAAAATTCAAAAGCTTGTTTGAATTCTCTTATTCTCTAATGTGTTTAAATGTTCATTTGTGCACATATATTGTAATGACAAATATAGTAATGACAGATATATTGATTTATATTAAAAATAATTTATAGTCTTTTATTATGGATTATAAATATAATCAGGTTCTTTTCATAATGTTACTCATACATATTTGTTATATCTTTAGATCCTTAGATTAATGATTGAACTCCTTGCACTCATAGCTAGAAACAGAGTTTACAGTTTGCATCTACGAAATTCCATGTTCCAATTTCACAAAAGGCTCGATCTCTTTGGACTGGAATGGTTGAAATATTATTTTAGTGAGGATGAGTTTTCCCTGCGTTTCGGGGTGGATTCTTTGGAAAATGCTTCCTAACTCGGCGGCTTGTTGCTACGGTGGAGGAGAATGAAAATCTTGCACAGACCGCTTGTGACCGGCCACGAAAGCTAGCGAACCTTTAATTAAGTTAAGTCTGCAATCCACTGGATGAACACTGCTCGATCAAACCCGACTCGACAACCGCACCAGGAATTTGAAGCTTGACCGCCTCTCGGCCAACCGCCGCTGCCTCAATCTCATTCTCAAACTCCACTGCCTTATCTCCAACTCTCCCTCGCCATATATATTGTGGGAGGCCAGGTAATACTCTACATTAAATAGTAAGGGTGTAACAGGGATTAAAGAATAATACTATACATTATAACGTGACTTTTTTGGCTTCAGCAAATGGGTTTAGAATTTCCCCTATTATTATTAGCTAATTCAGTTGTTTTACACTTTCAGGCAGCCCATGTTTTTTTTCTTTATTTCATGTGCAGCTCAAACCATTTATTAAAATAAACTCTACCCATATTATAAAAAAAGCAACAGGAATTGAAGAAACGTGAGTATATTATGTACTGCACTGTACTGGCGTTTTTCTTGCGCATACATGTCCGGCGATGAAGGATGCCGTCACGCAGCAACTCCCTCCGGCCAAGACGGTGGTTGCTTCTACTTCTTCGGGCAAGCAGTGGTTCCGCTTGGTGATGGAGTGCAGTCTACAAAACCTCTCTCTTTTTCCCTTACCTATAATAGTTAATATAAATTAGGAATCCTTGTGTATTTTGGCAACTCTTATTTTACTATAAATATACCTGTCAGGACTCCTATTGGAGCACGACTTTCCCGATTATCTCACATGGTATCAGAGCCTTAACCTAATTTTTTTCTCTCTCTCCTAAAATTCCACGCCGCCATGAGCACTTCGCCCTACTCCAGCGCCGCAGCCATGGTTTCTTCGGCCATGGGCTCGGCTGCCGCTGCTGCCACTTCTTCCCGGGCGCCGGCGCACACAACAATCTCTCCTCAGACGGCACAACCAGGCTTCTCCACGCCTCCGGCCGTCACAGCTGCCATCTCGAGCGCAACCGGATCCCCGGTGATGACGCCGACATCTTCAACGCTTTTTACCAATTTTCCTCCACCTCCAAATTTCTCTATGCCTGCGCCTATTCATCAATTTCAGTCGTTCCCATCGCAGCATACATGGCCTACGCCAGCCCCTATCCAGCCGCAAGATCATAATCCACCGCCTCCAACGGTTTTGCAGCCGGCAGTGACGTCCTTCTTCGGCCCTACTTTCTCCGGGTCACTTGGAGTTCTTCGGCCGCCTGATCAACCGGGATTTGGCTCCCCGATGTCTGCCCTTGCTCAGTCTGTTTCCCATATTACCACGGTCTCTCAAATCATCACCATTAAACCGAAGGCAGTCGAGGATTATCTCACCTGGCGTACACAGTTTGAATCCTTCTTGGTTTCTCAAGACCTCCTTGGGATCATGGATGGCTCTATTCAGGTACCCCCGATGTATACAGTTGATTTTCTTAATCGTCAAGTTCCAAACACAGAATATTATTATTGGCTTCGGGTAGATCAAACAATTCGTTGTTGGTTGTTTGCTACTTTAACTCGGGATGTGTTAGTTGATGTTCATGACCTCAAACATTCAGCTGCTATCTGGGCTAGACTTCAGACTCACTTTATGTCTGCTAGTCTACCCAGATGCATGGAACTTAAACAATTGTTATCTAATATAAAGAAGAAAGAGCCAATCCATGGAATTCTATTTAAGGGAAATTAAAATTGTTGTTGATGCCCTTGCGGCAATTAATTCTCCTGTGTCGGATAAAGAGATGCTTCAAGCTATTTTGGCTGGTTTGGGTCCTGGGTACCGGTCCTTTGTCACTAGTGTCTCTTTATTCCCCGACCAATTTCCCTATGATATTCTACAACCCCGACTTTTGGAGGAGGAGCAACGGGTCTTGTCTGAACGCCAACAACAACCAGTCGCTGGACATCAAGCCTTCGCGGTTGCTGCGGCAGGAGGTCAGCCACAAGCTGGCTACGCCAATTGCGGCAGAGGGGGCCGCGGTAGGGGTCGCGGCAGGCAAGGTCGAGGACGCGGTAGGGGACCACCGTATGGGTATCAGCACCAGGCCACACCGTTTTATGCTCCACAGCAGCCTGCACATGCTCCACACCATGGATTCGGATCTGCCCAGTAGGGCTTCGGGCAGCAGGGGTTCGGTCATCCGCATGCTTCAACTCAGGGGGTGCCTAATTCTCAAGGGAACACTTTAGGTTCTGCAAGTAATTCTATTTTGTCAACTTTAAATATTAATCCCTATTTTACTTATGATACTTACACTAGCTCTGCAGGTTTTTCATCAGGTGAGGGAATTCTTGGTTCCGTTCCACCACCTGTTGTTTGTCATCTTTGTTTTTCTGCAGGTCATTCTGCACTCCAGTGTCCCTCTCGTTATGCTCCACCGTCTGCACCAGCTCTGTTAACTTCCAATGGTGACTCCAACACTGCTTTATGGTACCCTGACTTTGGGGCTTCGGCTCACATGACTCCGACGGAAGGTATTTTAGTTAATAAATTTGTTTATACTGGACCGCTTTCTGTTAGTGTAGCTAATGGTTCTAAGCTTCCCATTGCTAATATTGGAGATGTTCATTTACATTCTTCTAGTCGTCCCCTCACGTTAAAATCTGTTTTTCATGTGCCTCACATTAAATTCAATTTATTATCCATTCAGAAACTTTGTGCTGATAATAACTGTGCTGTAATTTTTGATAAAAATTCTTTTTTTGTTAAGGACAAAATCACGGGGACCATCCTTCTTCAAGCTCCTAGTCAAGGTCATCTATATCCAGTCAGCCTCAGCCCTCAGTCACCGCTTGCTTTGACTTCTCTTGATTCGTCTAGCTCTCTTTGGCACCATAGATTAGGCCACTGTGGCAACTCTATTTTAAATACTTTACGTAGTCAACATCATCTATCTAGTAACTTTAAGTTATCTCATGACTGTATTTCTTCCCGCTTAGGCAAATCTCAACGTTTACCTTTTACGGATGCTAGTCATAATTCTACAATGCCTTTACAATTAATTCATTCTGATATTTGGCAATCTCCTATTTTATCTAATTTAGGTTTTAAATACTATGTCTGTTTTATTGATGACTTCTCTCGCTACACTTGGCTGTATCCCATGCGCACAAAGGCTGAAGTTTTTCATCACTTTAAATCTTTTAAATCTTTAGTTGAAAATCTTGTTAACACTCAAATTAAAATTTTTCAAAGTGATGGAGGGGGTGAATTTGTTAATACTAATATGCAGCAATTTTTTGATACTCATGGAATTTATTTTCGCAAATCTTTTCCTGACACACCTCAACAAAATGGGGTGGCTGAACGAAAACATCGACATCTGCTCGAAATTACTAGGACTATGCTTCTTTAAGCCTCTATTCCTAGCCAGTTTTGGGTAGATGCCATTTTTACTGCTGCATATATTATTAATCGTTTACCTTCTCCCTTGCTTGGTAACTCTTCTCCATATGAAAGACTCTTTCAAAAATCTCCTGATTATGCTTTTATGCGTGTGTTTGGATGTTCATGTTTTCCTAATATTTCTCCATCTTCTGCAAATAAACTTTCAGCCCGTTGTGTTCACTGTGTCTTTATTGGCTATGCATCTGGTTATAAAGGGTATCGTTGTCTTGAACCTAAGTCTGGTAAACTTTATGTCAGTCGTCATGTTAAGTTTCTAGAAACTAACTTTCCTTTTTCCTCTTTATCATCCTCCTTCTCTGAGTCATCCACTTCCTCTGACTTTCCCCAATTAACTCTTCCCAACACCATACGAGCCCCTATACCTCCTCCTATGCCGCTTCCCCAACACATTGCAGGGCCACTTCCACACTCACGGCAACTACAGCAACCGACACCAACCCCTCCTATCCCGGTCACCACAGCACCCGACATCACCCCAACCAGTACTTCGTTAACTTCCCCAACCCTTTCTTCCGCCACCCAACCAGAAACCACTCCCACACTTTCGCCACATTCTGCCGACACCAAGACCACATCAGTAATGCCTGAACCAATGTCGTTGTCGGCCCCGTGTTTTTCATGGCCGTCGTGTTCCCTCGTTCCTGATCTGATCAGGAAGGTCGGCCTGGATCCTTGTGTTGTGGCCGATAAGGGTACTTTGAACTTAGTTTTTTGAACATAGAATTTTTTCTAAGTACACATGCAAAGCGTAGGTAGCTAACGGCCTTCGAGTATACAGGTACCCGCTTCGTCTAGAGTTTCTCCATTTAAGTACTTAGAGATTTTTCTAAGTATAAATGCAAGACATAGTTCCTTCTTTGCGGTACCGCTGCCGGCTAAGAGATGGCCCTACCTTCATCGACCAAGGTCTGGCTTTTGTGGCCGATGAGGGTGCCTTTGTTTTCCTCAAGAGTTTCTCAAGTGTTTTGTAAACCCTTGGACAAATCTTCCACTTGGCCAACAGCCTGGGTTTTAGTGCCTGTAACGGCCAACCGGAATGCTGTGGCCGGTTAGGGATTGTTGCTTGAATGCTTGATTCTTCCGCGGGTGTGATGTTGCCCGCTTCGTCCTGGTCAACCTCAGGATTGATACTCAGGTTTGATACTGCCCGCTTCGTCCTCGTCGTCTCCCAGGATTGTGATTCTTCATTTCATACTAAGTGTTGGTGCTTCAAAGGGGCTGTAGCCGATGAAGGTTACCACTCGCGTGTCACCCAACCACTGGCTAGGGTTTTATAAGCGTATGCTTCGTCTTCGACCATTCCCTTGTGGTGTGATGGACGTGTGGCCATGTCGTCCATGTTACCTGTTAGTGGTACTACACTTGTGTTCAACTGATATGTACTTAGCCAAATTTGGCCTGAGTTGTGGGGATTATTTTTTCACTGCTCGAGGCCGGCAAGTGCGCGCGATCCTCGGCTTCCCTCTTTTTTTTTCCTTTTTTTTTGTTCCCTATTTCAGGGGAGTATCCTTCTTTCAGGCTTCGGCCGAAGGGTGTGCTCGTCCTTCGGTCGGTTCGGACTTCGTTTATAACGTACGTGATCTCAGGGCGGGTCCCGTCGCCTATTTATGACGCGGGCTAGACTTTTGGTCGGTTTCCAACGGTTGTCGTTGCCCATCCCTGAGTTTTGGGATTTTGTCACCTCGGCCATGATTTCAGGCCTGTCGTCCTGCGATTCGGCGCGTGGACGACGCGGTGAGCTTCCCGTTTCAAGACGTGGGCCGTTTGCGGGCCCCTCGTCCTGGGGACATCGTCGGCCATACCTGAGCGTTTCACTTCAGGTTTACGGGGCCAGGACGATGTGCTCTCTCAGCTAGGCCTGAGCCCTTTGCTGATACAAAATACAATGGAGTACCTGGGCTTGTTGCTTCGCAGGTTGCAAATGCAAGGTGCCATGTCGGCCATACCTGAGTCTTTCGCTCTGAGGTGGCCGATGAGGGCACCTGCTAATTTTTTACTTTAAATTCCAGAGAAAAAATCAAGAGGAACATGATTTTATTCATAAGTGGCTCGAGGCCGAGGGTGGCGTTCAATCAGTAACCCGTTAAGGGGTGAGGGCTTCGCCGTCTGCAGCTCCTTCGGATTACTGATAAAACTTCACCAGATGGTGTACATTCCACGTTCATGGTACATTGGACCCATTCGGACGTTTAAGCTTGTAGGTGTCGGGTTTGACCACGGCACTGACGATGAAGGGCCCTTCGTACTTCAATGTTAGCTTGCCACCCTTTGTCGGCTGGCTTGCTTCCCTTCGACGGAGGACGTAGTCCCCCACTTGAAATTCCCGGGAACGTACCTTGGCGTCATAGTATGATTTTACTTGACGCTGGTAGTTCTCTGCTCGGATGTAAGCTTGCTCACGCCTCTCGTCGACCAGATGCAGGTCAATCTTCATGTTCTCTTCGTTGGCGTCAGGCTCGTATTGTTCCACCCGCCGGCTGGGGATGGCAACTTCCGTGGGTGCCTTTGCCTCAAAGCCGTAACACAGGGCGAAAGGCGTTTCACCTGTCGCCCTCCTCGGCGTGGTTCTGTAGCACCACAGGATGTTGGGGAGCTCGTCGACCCAACTACCCCCTGCGGCCTGGAGTTTCTTCTTCAGCCCCTCCATGATTGTCCTGTTGGCATTCTCGACCTGCCCGTTGCCCTGGGGGTAGGCAACGGAGGAGAAACGATGCTTCACCCCAAACTCCCGGAGGAGCTCCTGAAAAGGGGCTGCCTCGAATTGGGTGCCGTTGTCTGATATGATCTCCTGGGGGACGCCGAAGCGTGTGATGATGTTTTTGTAAACAAATTTTTGGCATCTGGCCCCCGTGATGCTGGCCAGGGGTTCCGCCTCGACCCACTTGGTGAAGTAGTCGACGGCGACAATGATGTAGCGGTTGTTCCCGGCGGCTCTGGGCAGGGGGCCGACCAGGTCAATCCCCCATCTAGAGAATGGAATTGCAGTGCTAACGGGGGCGTAGTTGACGGCTGGCCGACCAGGGGCCTTCTGGAGTACCTGGCACGTGGTACACTTCCTGGCCAGGTCCCCACAGTCTCGCGCCATCGTCGGCCAGAAGAAGCCCTGGACGACGAGACGCCGGGACATGCTGAAAGGACCCTGGTGCGAGGAGCAAACACCACAATGAACTTCTTCCATGGCCATGTCGGCCTCATCCTGGTGGAGGCATCGAAGGAGAGTGCCATTATAGGATCGTTTGTAGAGTTTGCCATCTTCAATGGTGTAGCTTGGGGCCCTGAGTTTGGCAAGTTTGGCCCTCTCCTCGTCCGGGGGCAGCTCCCCCGTCGTGATGAAGGTGACGATGTCGGAGATCCAGTCCTCCGGTCGCTGTTGGACGCACAAGATGGGGCTGGCATGGATGCTGGACATGCTCAACTCCTCGATCTTGGCCAGCTGGGAGATGTGCTCCGGGGTGTCCGAGCTGAGTTTGGAGAGGATGTCGGCCTCGGCATTCTCGGCCCTTGGGATCTGTGTGATCTCGTGGGTTTCGAACGCCTTCAGCAGCTCCTCCGCTGCTTGTTTGTACTGCTTCATCCGGCCTTCCTTTGCTTCGTACGATCCCTCCACCTGGCCCACTACCAGTTTGGAATCGCACTTGATTTTGAGGTGCTTGGCCTTGAGGCCAGTGGCGAGTCTGAGACCGCTGAGGAGGGCCTCATACTCGGCTTCGTTGTTGGATACCCTGAAGTTGAAGCGGATGGCATAGTAAGCTCTGAATCCTTCAGGGGATATGAGGACGACGCCGCCACCGCATAATTTCGCGGCCGACGAGCCGTCGGTGAATAGGATCCATGTATCGTCCGGCTCCGGCCCGGGGTTGGCGACGGCCGTCTCCCTTGCTGTGCATTCAGTGACGAAGTCGGCCAAGGCTTGCCCTTTGATAGATGGCCTTGGCTTGATCTCAATTTGAAACTGGCTGAGAAAGATTGCCCATTTCACCATCCTCGAGGAGCTGGTGGGGCTCCTCATGAGTGCGCCGAGAGGCTGCTGGGTTAGCACATGGACGGCGTGGGCTTGGAAGTAGTGCCCCAGTTTCTTCACCGTGTGGACGATGGCTAGCACCGTCTTCTCAATGGGGGAGTACCTGAGCTCGGCCTCCCTGAGTGTCTTGCTGATGTAGAAAATGGCTTTCTGCGCCCCTTCGTCCTCGCGGATGAGCACGGAGCTGATGGCCGACGTGCTCACCCCTAAGTACAAAAAGAGGGTGTCACCGGCTTTGGGCTTGGAGAGCACGGGCGGGGACGATAGGTACCTCTTCAATTCTTCAAATGCTTCCTGGCACTCCGTCGTCCACTTGAAGCTATTTGCCTTACGCATGATCTGAAAGAAGGGGAGTGCCCTTTCGGCTGACCTGGAGAGAAAACGGTTCAGGGCCGCCAGGCGCCCCGTCAGTCGCTGTACTTCCTTGGCGTTGCGGGGCGGCTCCATGTTGATGATAGCCTGTGTCTTCTCCGGGTTTATCTCGATGCCCCTCCGGCTGACCATGTAGCCGAGGAACTTGCCGCCCTGGACGCCGAAGGCGCACTTCTTGGGGTTGAGGCGGAGCCTGAACTCCTTCATGATTTCAAAGATTTCCAGGAGGTCGTCGGCGTGGGAGGAGGCCTGCCTGCTCTTGACGATCATGTCGTCGACGTATGCCTCCATCGTCCGGCCCGGGACCGCTCTGAAGATCTTGGCCACCATCCTAGTGTAGGTGGCGCCGGAGTTTTTGAGACCGAAGGCCATGACGAGGTAGCAAAAGATTCCCTCTGGGGTCATGAATGCCGTCTTCTCGGCGTCATCTTCATGCATGGAGATTTGGTGGTACCCTTTGAAAGTGTCAAGGAACGACATCAACTCGCACCCTGCCGTCTCGTCCACCAGCTGATCAATGTTGGGGAGAGGGAACAAGGTCCATGGGGCACGCCTTGTTCAGGTCAGTGTAATCAACACACATCCTGAATGTTGGCGGTTTCTGGGCGAGGACGACGTTGGCCAGCCACGTCGGGTACTTCACCTCTTTAATGTGTTTGATTGAGAGGAGCATGGCGACCTCCCCTTTGACGAAGTCCCGTCTGTCGGCGGATAAGTAGCGCCGCTTCTGCTTGACAGGCGCGGAGGCCGGATCGACGGTCAGCCGGTGAGTGATCACCTGGCGGCTGATGCCTGGCATATCGTTCGGGCCCCACGCGAAGACAACGGCGTACGACCGTAGGACGAGGAGGATGGCGTCCCGTTGATCCTGCGGGAGCTGCTTCCCGACTCTGAGAACCCGCTCCGGCCGGGAGGTATCCAGAGGGACTTCCTCGACCTCCTCGGCCGGCTCAGCA